GGCCGCTGTCGACGCCGGGAAGGAAGGACGCCGACTTCGCTTCCTCCTGGCAGAGTTCCGGCAGCAGGACGCCGGGAAGCCAACTGTCCTTTGGGTGGACAACAAGTCGGCCATCACAGTCGCCGAGGGCATGGGGTTGACGGGCAACCTCAAGCACATGGAGCGAAGATAGGATGGGTTGCAGCACATGGTGAGGCGCGGGAAGTTCGCGTTGAGCTACATCCCGACCACCGAGCAGCCGGCCGACTTCCTGACGAAGGCGCTGCACTACCCGGCCTTCAATCAGACTCCGTCGCGATCGGCCAAGTGCGCCTGGCCGAAGTCGGCGACGGCGACAACGACGTGCAACAGTAGGTGCCATGCCCTCTTGCATGGCTGGTGCGGTGTCCGGCGTGCTGTGTGTTGTGTGCACGCCACCGAGCTATTCTCCGAGAAGTGATGTCGTGTGGGCGGGGGGCCCAAGCGTGAACGCGACACAGGACTGTCAACGGGAGTGGTGTTTGGCCTCGTCCTCGCTTGGGTGGAGCCGATCTTGTGGTCGGGTGTGCGAGGGGATGCAGCCAGCCTGTAGCAGTGGGCATGGAGGTCACTACATGGGCGTTGAGTTGGTGGGGCGCCTGGCTGGAGGGCGCCGAGCAGATGGACGCCGTCCTCTGAGTCTGGGCGGCGTCCTGGGCGTCTGCTCGGCGTCCTGGGCGCCTGGACGCCGTCCTGGGCGTCTGCTCGGCGCCCTGGGCGACTGGACGCCGACTTGAGCTTCTGCTTGGCGTCCTGGGAGGCTGGACGCCGACCTGTCTGCTTGGCCTCTCGAGCACCTGGACGGCGTCCTGGGGGAGTGGACGCCGACCTGGGCGCCAGGACGCCGACCTTGGGTCGCCGAGCTTGGTGTAGCCGGCGACCGACAAGGCTGGACGACCAGGCGGGGTTGCCCGGTCGACCGGGATACCCGGGCGACATGTGCGAAGGTCGCCGGGGATAGTTTCTGCGAGGGCGACCTCGGGGGTGGTATCCCGAGGTCTACGTGGCTGGCAAGCGCAGTCACTACCGTGGACGTCTGCGCTGTGCTCGTGACAAGGCGTGGAGCACCAACCAGCTGCGCGCACCTGCGAAGCAGGTGCACCGTTGTCATGCGGGTGCAATGCTGTGCAGCCGATTTGCTGCAGCGTTGGCACACCATAGAATTGCAACATTGGCGCACCGCTACTCCGCAGTGCTGGAGCGGTGCGAGCATTGCTGCGCTGGAACGCGGTCGACCATGCTGCGCTGGAGGTCGACCAGCAGCCTAGCTAGCTCAAATGTAGTCAGTGTTGCCAACGTTGTTGCTATCCTTGTCACGTTTTCCTAGTGGAACTCTTGCCAATTCTCCCCGTGAACTAGCAAGTAGTGTGCGCACAAGGAAACGACTAAGTGAACGAACGCAGAGATCCCTCTCACACACGTGCCTTCCCCGTAGTCAAGCTCCCGTTGCTAGAGTTATCTCCGCAACCAGCACCCCCAGACACGGCACCTCTAGAGTCATCACCCCCATAACCAGCACCCCCAGAGCTTGCACCCCCAGTGTCACGACCCCCACCAGCACAAGAGTTCACAGCGACGGGCTGTGGAGGCGGCGAAGACGGCCGAGGCAGAAAACGAGGAGGGGTCTCCAAACGCGGGGAGCGGCGAGCGGTCGTCGTGCCGTCAGCAACGTCACCCCCCTCAGGTGGGCCAGAGGAGACCTCTATGTTAGAGATTAAGGATCGAGTCTATGAAGAATAGGTGCCCAGGTTTCTCAAAATCGTTGGCTTGAATTTCTGGACAGAAACCGCGACTTCATAAGAAACGTTGTCGACGGAAAGTGCACCGTTAAAACTCCACCAATTTCGGATATGTTGTAGCTCTAGTCCGTGGCTACAATTCCCAATTTGAATCGTATCAAAAGGTGGAGTAAATCTCGAGTTATGCTTTTCGGCGCACTAGGGGGTATGCTGCCACAGAAACTTAACTCAATCACAATAGTTCTCACAAGTTCTCAAAAGATTGCACACAAGAGAGTTAGAGTAGCACTAAACCAGATAGGAGGGAAGAGGAGGACGAGAGGGAAGCCCATGCCACACAAATCCCCACTCTATGAGCAACCCCACTTTCACATTTGTCACTTTCCCAATTCATGCCATCCACCTCACCCAACTTGGCCACACTTGCCAACCTGGTTTGGCTTCTCCCAACCACATGGCAGCAATCTACAGTGATGGGTTCGAATTTCCCAACCCCAAAAGTCTGTACCCCATAAAAGTCAACCCCACAACTTCCCATAGTCGCCACAACCGAAGTACAGAAAGCATACGAACTCCAACGTTCGTAACTTTCTTGATATTGCTCCGATCGCGACGATTCTTGGCTCGTCGGAAAGCTCTCGAGCAGATGAGTCACTTCAGGTATCTGCTCAGGCCAAATAACATTCGCACACACTCAGGAAATCCAAACCGCACAAGCATATGATGGGAGGCAGACAGACGTGAATGCGAATGATAGCATCACAACAATCTAAACACAGGCTCAACCAAGGGGAGTGGGTCCACCTGAGACACACGTGAGGGAGCAGGAGCCTGCGAGGGGAGGGGGTCTACCGGGGGGGGATCTAGGGCCAGGAAGAGGGGCGGCGGGGGGACTGGAGAAGACGCGTGCTGGTGGAGACGATGCAAGCAGACTGACTCGTCAAAGGTGATGTCCTGTGAGGACAGGACCCGGCGCAAGGCAGGGTGGTAAAACTGCCAGGGCAGGCGTCATTGGGGAAGCCAAGGAAGTCACGGCGGGCAGGGCGAGGAGAGAGCTTGCCCGCGGTGGTATCGCGGACAAGGGAGAGCGCGCCCCGGACCCCAAACGTCGACGCATCGCCGACCTTCCCCGTCCAGCGCAGTGTAGGTGAGGTCTCTGGCACGGAAACATGAGGCCAAAGGTTGAATTGACGCGTGGCTTGTCGGACAGCAAACGGCCACAGAAAATGGGGAGCAACCGCATGGATCATGGAGGTGCGAGCAACCTCCATGATCAAGCCAATGCGACGCTCAGCAATCCCATTCTGCTGTGGAGAGTCCGGAAGCGTGAACGAATGGACGATGCCCTCGGCACGACAAAAGCCCTCAAGGAGGCAGGAGGAAAACTCACCACCTCTATCAAAGTGTAGCCACGGGATGTGGAGGTCCCGCTGAAACTGCGCTCTCAACTAGCGACGAACATCGATGATCCAGGGGATCAAAACACAGGGATACTCGCCTTGCTTTGCAAGAGGAAGACCCTAGTGTAGCGCGAGTAGTTGTCAACAACCAGGGGGAAGTAGCACTCCTGGTCCTGTCCACGGACGCGGGCTGGGCCCCATACGTCCATGTGGAGGGTCTGCAAAGGAGCCTCTGTCGGAGGGAACGAGGAGGAGTGAGGAGCGGCACGCCGCCGCCCCTTGACGCGGGGTAGGCACGGCGGCGCAGGCGAGCATGGGAGGGGGGGCAGGGACCTGGGGAGGCCAGAGACAAGGAGATGAGAGTGCATGTTACGCAGGCGAGGCAGGGAGGGGTGACCAAGACGGTGGTGCCAGAGGAGAGTCTGGTGCGTGAGTAGCTGATACGAACAAGACGCAGCTAACTGACCCGACACAGCTACCTGACCCGGCGCAGCTACCTGTGTAGACTCAGTGGTAAGTGTGTACAGGCCAGACCCAGGCCTCCGAGTGAAGGTGGCGAGGTGCTCGCCAGTGGGTCAGACCGTACAGATCGCCACAAGCTCACCCGCAGGAGTAGTCATCGTAACAAACTGGTCCCGGAGGACAGCGTTCCTCACCAAGTTCTTGGAGAATGAGGGGAAGTGGAAACCTGTGAGGGAGCCAGAGGGGGCTGCCGGATACGGGAGAGTTGGAGGCACGTGCTACGACTGGGCCCCCAGAGGGGTCAGCCAGAGAGACCAGGACAGGTACAGTGAGTGGTATGACTGTGGTGCAGTCGCAGAAGAAGCAGTGAGTCGCACCCGAGTCAAGCATAAAGGTGTGCAAAGCCTTCACAGAAGCAGCACCTCTGCTACCACGAGCACAAGCACCTAGACTAGTAGCCTCTGCACTGTCAACGGGAGTTGTGTGTTGGCCCCGTCCTCGCTTGGGTGGAGCCGACTTCGTGGTCGGGTGTAGGGGTGCAGCCGACCTACAGCAGTGGGCGAGCTGGTCGACGAGGAAGTCGACCTGCACGGGTGCCACTGCATGGGCGCCGACTTCAGGATGGCATCGACTTCAGGGCGGTCGACCTGGGAAGTCGACCTATGGAGGGGGTCGACTTGGTGACACCACCTTGGGGCAGCCGACTTGGGTGGTTAGCTGGCAGTAGTTTTGGTCGACCTGGTGGTTTGTCGACCAGGCCTGCTGGTCGACGAGGAGCTGGTCGACCAGGAGTGACGTCGACCTGGAGCTGGTCGACCAGGGGTAGTGGTCGACCTGGTGAGGTCGACTAAAGGTGGCCGTCAACTTGGGTGGTCGACGGGCACGCGCAAGAGCAGTTGGTCGACGTGATTGCCCATTCGACCAGGTTTCCTGGGTTACTAGGTTCTGCGAAGGCACGCGACGGTCGCCCAGGCGATGTTGGCGAGGACGACCTCGGTGGTGGTATCCCGAGGTCGACGTGGCTGATCAGAAGCAGTCGTCAGCACGAAGTTGACTTGGTGTGTGCGCTGTGCAGGTGACAAGGCACAGCGCGCCAATCATCTGCGAGCACCTGCGAAGCGGGTGCGCTGCTGTCCTGCGGGAGCAACGTTGGCACGCCGTCAACCTGCGACGATGGCACGCCGTCGACATGCAGCATTGCCAAGCCGCAACTCTGCACTGCTGGAGCGCGGTCGACCAAGTCGTGCTGGCACGCGGTCGACCGTCCTGCGTTGGCAGTAGACTTGCATGCATGCTAGCTCTGATGTAGTCTAGTCTTGCCAACTTCATTGTATCATTGTTGTGAACTTTTGCTAGTAAAACTCTTGCTCGTGGAAGGCTCTTAGGGAGGCCGGAGAGGGGGGGGGAGGGAGGAGGAGGAGGAGGAGGAGGAGGAGGAGGAGGAGGAGGAGGAGGAGGAGGGGTAGGAGGAGGAGGAGGAGGAGGAGGAGGAGGAGGAGGAGGAGGAGGAGGAGGAGGAGGAGGAGGAGGAAGAGGGGAGGGAGGAGGAGGAGGAGGAGGAGGAGGAGGAGGAGGAGGAGGGAGAGGAGGAGGAGGAGGAGGAGGAGGAGGAGGAGGAGGGGGGGGGGAGGAGGAGGACGCGGAGGAGGAGGGGGGGGAGGAGGAGGAGGAGGAGGAGGAGGAGGAGGAGGAAGAGGAAAAGGAGGGAGAGGACGACATAATGATATTCCAGTAACCACCTGTATCAATGCTGAGGATGGACAATACAGTATATAGACAACCACGTTTCGTCTCGTGCCTTTTTTTCAGGCCTAGTCCCAACTTCTGAGCAGCAACTTATATTTAAGGAACTCAAGTCTCTGTCGTACGACTACTGAAACTCATTTACAGCCCAGCAGACGGTGTGCTTAGGTACATCAAAGATTGCCAGGTGCAGATTTTACTCAATCACAGAGAATCCTAATTCTCCTTCATCATTAGAACATTGAGCACCTCTCTTCTGTTACACTCGTATACAAACTAGGGCATGGCTCATTTGTCCATGCTGGTTACTGTACACCACACATCCCAGTGTAACTAATCGGTACAGTATTGCACCTCTTGCTATAGGTTCTGTAAGTGCTTGGTCATTCGTCATGTTCCGTTTTTGTTCGACTCGAAGCGGTCAAACAGAGGCTTAGGGATGGCGTGCGAAATGTTGTTGAAGGGAATTCTTAGGTCCAGTACATAGATCTTCTTCACCTTCTCGTATGTTTCCTGCAGCGCGTGCAGTGCACACAAAGATCATCGCGCATGGGTCAGCCAAGTTGACAGCTATACACGTTGCTGGAACTCGCACAGCATAGAACGCATGACGTATCAACATAACACTGAAGGGGTGCTGGCTGAAACAAGGAAACTTTGAAGCTGGTTCGAAGGAGCTAGTGTGTATATAGAGCAGGCAGGCAAGGACGGGTAATCACTTCATCATACATCCTCGTTTCTTAATTTGATGACTGTTGAGCCAGCTCAAAAGTCGACTCGTACCCATAGAGGTGCTGAGGCTAGTGAAAAGCAGCTCGTGTGTGTGTGCAAGGAAAAGGCTGGCAAGGCCGGGTACTCACCTTGTCATACATTGTCACGAGCTTCTCACCTTGCCAAACATCGTCACAAGCTTCCCACCTTGTCATACATCTTCACCAGCTTCTTCTCACCTTGTCATACATCTTCACCAGCTTCTTCTCACCTTGTCATACATCTCCACGAGCTTCTCATCCGAGCGGGTCTGGTGCGCGTTGACACCGAAGTTGAAGATGTCGAGATGGTCGCCTCCGAATCGGTTCACCACATACTTGGCATCCTCCTCCAGACTCTCAAACCGCCCCACAAAGTCGTACTTTATGTGCCCCAGTGCGCACACGTCCCTCTGCGACACATGCATGCAGGCAGGTAGACACATGCATGCAGGCAGGTAGACACATGCATGCAGGCAGGTAGACACATGCATTCAGGCAGGTAGACACATGCACGCATGGGGGCAGACACATGCACGCTTGGGGGCAGACACATGCACGCATGGGGCCAGACACATGCACACATGGGGGCAAAAGTGTACACACATGGGAGAAGACACTATGGTGGATTGGTTTCTGCTGGTGTCTCATGCTAGGTGGCAAATACCTGTTGCACGTGCCTCCTTGCATAGACAGACAGTCGCTCAGCAACTGAGTGAGTCCGTCTCAATGTCCCATGTGCCACCGACCTGCAGGCCGATGTGCTGGTCCATGTGCCACCCACCTGCAGGCCGATGTGCCGGTCCATGTGCCACCCACCTGCAGGCCGATGTGCCGGTCCATGTGCCACCCACCTGCAGGCCGATGTGCCGGTCCATGTGCCACCCACCTGCAGGCCGATGTGCCGGTCCATGTGCCACCCACCTGCAGGCCGATGTGCCGGTCCATGTGCCACCCACCTGCAGGCCGATGTGCCGGTCCATGTGCCACCCACCTGCCGGCCGATGTGCCGGTCCATGTGCCACCCACCTGCAGGCCGATGTGCCGGTCCATGTGCCACCCACCTGCAGGCCGATGTGCCGGTCCATGTGCCACCCACCTGCAGGCCGATGTGCCGGTCCATGTGCCACCCACCTGCAGGCCGATGTGCCGGTCCATGTGCCACCCACCTGCAGGCCGATGTGCCGGTCCATGTGCCACCCACCTGCAGGCCGATGTGCCGGTCCATGTGCCACCCACCTGCAGGCCGATGTGCCGGTCCATGTGCCACCCACCTGCCGGCCGATGTGCCGGTCCATGTGCCACCCACCTGCAGGCCGATGTGCCGGTCCATGTGCCACCCACCTGCAGGCCGATGTGCCGGTCCATGTGCCACCCACCTGCAGTCCGATGTGCCGGTCCATGTGCCACCCACCTGCAGGCCGATGTGCCGGTCCATGTGCCACCCACCTGCAGGCCGATGTGCCGGTCCATGTGCCACCCACCTGCAGGCCGATGTGCCGGTCCATGTGCCACCCACCTGCAGGCCAATGTGCCGGTCCATGTGCCACCCACCTGCAGGCCGATGTGCCGGCCCACGAGAAGCACGGAAGCACTCACCTGTCATCTGCCAACAAGACCCACCTGCAGGCCGATATGCCGGTCCATGTGCCAGCGCCCCTTTCTGAAGACGAGCGCCACAAGCTTCACAAAGTCGTGGAACGACACCAGGTCGTCCTCCCCCTTCACTGCCTCCCACTGCTGCCAAATCCGCTCGAAAAACGCCTGCACGGGGGAACAGGAGCACGCGGTTAGTCGATGGTATGAAAGAAGTGTAGGGAGGGAAAAGCCCACCTCGGCGCAGCAATTCGCATTGTAACCACTGAAAAAAACACCGCATTGGCTCGTTTCAGCATGGCACAGCACAGCACAGCATAAGTGTGGATGCAGGGCTGCATAAACTGAGACGGGGCCAGATAGGCAGCGCCTTGGCTTGGCGTGCCTCGTTCCAGTAGTTGCAGGAGCCCACACCCGTCTTGTTGTTGGGCACGGCAGTGATGACAAGGCTGTTAGAGTAGGCGGAAGATGCACGCAACGGCAAGCACAAGCGGCCAGCAGCAGGCAGAGATGAACCCCACAGTGCAGACTCACGTCAATCCAGCACTCTCTGGAGCCACCAAGCACACCATGCGCGTGCCTCACTCACGTTATTCCAGTATTCTCTCGACCCCGGGCCGGTCTTGTTGTTGGGCGAGTCGGTGATGACGAGCTTGTTGTTGTACGCTGAGAGCACTCGAGAGAAGGGGTTGCGCACGAAGGTAACGCGGAACAGGTCCGGCTGCGTCATTGCCCACACCTGGGGGGAGGGCAGGCAGGCAGGGGCGAGCGTGGAAGGGAGGAGTTTGGGCGGAGGAGGAGGAGTTTGGACAAGTGGAGATTGGCACACTAGAAAGGAAGAGGTGCATGCTCACTGATGTCTTCTCTGTGGAGCGAGCACCGCACGTGGCAGCGTGCAGAGGGCACATAGCGGCGTGCAGGGCACACATGGCATGGCACCACACTCACGGCCTGCTTCTCTGTGAAGTGCACGTGCACCATGTGCCAGCCCGCCCTGTTATTGTCCAGCGCCAGCAGCGGGTCCTCGGGGTGAGGCTGCCCCAGCATGGCTCGCAGCCACATGAGCCACGAGTTGGCCGCTACCTTGGGTACCGTGCAGATGAACAGCTTGAGATTCTCTTGAGGAAGGGGTGTGAGATGCAATGGGGAGAGATGGAGAACGATTTAGCACCGAAATGTGAGAATAAAAGTTAGAAAAGAAGTTGATGGTTTGATTGAGAAGGATGGGGGTATACATAGGAAATTGGTTGGATACTAGCCTAGGTGAGCATTATTGGTTCCCAACCAAGAAGTTGGGTTGGGAGATTATTGGTGGGGTCCAATAATGTTGGCCAAGTTGGGGTTGGGCCAACATTATTGGAGGGGACCAATAATTCTACCCAACCCAACCTTTGGGGTCCAATAATTGGACCAAGGTTGAATTTCCAACCTACAAACTGGGTTACCCCTGCTTGTACACCCAAACTAAGTTTGGGTGCTTAACTCTAGCCTATCCTATAGCATATATGCAGGTTACAAGAGGAGAGATATTCTAACACAACCCCTTAACCTGCAGAGATGCGGAAAGGCTTGAGAGAAGCAACCCCTGAATCAAGGCGCGCCTGGGGGAGCGAGGTCGATGAGGCGGAGAAGAGCAGCGTGCGCAGTGCGAAGAAGTGCTTTTGTAAAGATATCAGCCAAGTTGGCTTCAGCAGCGATCTTGCGAACGGCGATGAGGTTCTGTTGGACGAGCTCGCGGATGAAGAAATAGCGGAGCTCGATGTGCTTGGAGCGCCCATGAAAGACGGGGTCCTGGGTGAGATGGATGGTGCTGGCGTTGTCACACCAGAGCGTGGGACAGCGCTGGGGGGCACCAAGCTCTGCCAGAAGAAAGCAGAGCCAGCGGGACTCCTGGGCGGCCATGGTGCCAGCATAGAGCTCAGCTTCGCATGACGAGAGGGCGATGGCGGAGGAGCGGGTGGAACGCCAGCTGATAAGCCCGCTGCCGAGGGTGAAGCCATAGCCTTGGGAGGAGCGGCGGTCTGGCTGAGAGTCTACCCAGGAGGAGTCGCTGAAGCCAGAGAGAAGGGGAGGAGAGGATCCACCCAACGTGAGAGCGTGATCCTTGGTGCCACGGAGATAGCGGAGGACCCGCTTGGCGGCAGCCCAGTGTTCCTCAGTGTGGCGGCGGGAGCCGACGAACCGAGCAAGGACGCTGACGGGGTAGGCGAGGTTGGGACGATTGCACATCATGGCGTACATCAGCGACCCAACAAACTCGGCATAGGGCCGGGAGGAGGTGGAGGGGGAGGTGGGTGGAGCAAGCTGGTGCCCGAAGGGGAGGGGGGTGGAGACCGGTCTGGCCTGCGCCATCTCGAACTTCTCCAGGACCTGGCCGATGTAGTGGGACTGGGAGGGGGTGATGGTGCGGGCAGACCGATTGCGGGTGATAGCCATGCCGAGGTAGTTCTGCAGCGGACCAAGGTCCTTGCACTTGAGACGTTCCTGAAGTGCGATCCATGTCGGCCCTGGTGTCAGCGAGCAGGATCATGTCGTCAACGTAGACCGAGATGAAGAAGCGACGTGGGGAAGAGCGGATGAAGAGGCTGGCATCGGAGTGGGAGGCAGAGAAGCCAAGGGACTGGAGAGTAGCAGACAGCTTCGCATGCCATTCTCGTGGTGCCTGCTTCAAGCCGTAGACCGGTCGCTTAAGTTGCCAGATGGTGTTGTCGGGGAAAGCAGCATGAAACCCTGGGGGCCGGCGGAGGAAGATGCGCTCGTGCAGTTCGCCTTGCAGGAACGCGTTGGAGACGTCCATGGAGTCAATCTCCATGTTGTCACGTGCACAAATATCAAGAATGGTGCGCAGAGTGGCCTGCTTGACTGTGGGGGCAAATGTGAACCAGTAGTCCTCAGCCCAGGTCTCGTTGAACCCCTTGGCAACGTAGCGGGCTTTGTAGACTGGTTCTTCTCCCGGCAGCTGCTTGACTCGAAAGATCCACTTGCCCTCGACAAGGTTGGCGTCAGGAGGGAGGGGAACATCAACAAAGGAGTCATTGCGGATCAATGCCTCACATTCCAGGAAGTTGGCGGCTATCCACTTATCGGCGTCAGGGCAGGTGATAGCCTCCTGGAAGGTGGAGGGGACGAAGATGGTGGGAGCGGAGATCGCGCTAAGGAGGAGAGCGCCGAGGAGGCCAGGGTGGAGCGTAGTGAGAGAGGGAGTGTGGCGCTGAACCATGGTGAACTCCTCATAGGAGTCCTCCAGCTGGTTGAGGGAGGAAGGAGGCGGTGTGCCAAGGATGGGGTCAAGGGAGCGGGTGTGCATGCGAGGGAGGAGGAAGGGTGAGGAGCGGGCAGTTGCCCTTTGTCCCCTGCTGCTGCTGCTGGTGCTGCTGGAACCCCTGCTGCTGCTGCGGCTCTGCTCCTCTCCACTGGTGCTGCTGCTGCTGCTGCTGCGGCGGCGGCTGCTGCTGCTGCGGCGACTGCTGCTGCTGCTGCTGCTGCTGCTGCTGCTGCTGCTGCTGCTGCTGCTGCTGCTGCTGCTGCTGCTGCTGCTTCTGCTGCTGCTGCTGCTGCTGCTGCTGCTGCTGCTGCTGCTGCTGCTGCTGCTGCTGCTGCTGCTGCTGCTGCTGCTGCTGCTGCGGCTACTGTTGCTGCTGCTGGGATGGATGGGAAGGAGAGGGGGAAGGGGAGGAGGGAGGGGGGGCCGCGGAGTGTGCAGGGGATGCAGGAGCAGTGGGATCGTAGATGTCAGCAAATGAAGGTGGCGGAAGCGGAGTAGGAAGGGGTGGGAGAACAGTGTCAGTCCAGGGTTTAGGGAGGAGGGAGAGGGTCCGGTGGTGGAGAGGAGTAATATGGGGTAGTCTCATCAAAGACGACGTCAATGCTGCTGATAAGGCGACCAGAGGGAGGGTGAAGGAAGAGGTAACCAGGCGAGTCGCGGTTGTGTCCGAGGTAGACACACTCGAGGGCACGAGAAGCGAGCTTGCCGTGGGTGCGATCAGGTGGAGGAATAAGCACATATGCCTTGCAACCCCAGACACGGAGGCCAGCAGCATCAGGTTTGGTGCCCGACCAGAGTTCCGTGGGGGTGGTGGTAGTGTGTCGAGGATGGGAGTGAAGGTTGAGGAGGAGGGTAGCATGAAGGAGTGCATAGCCCCAAAGAGAAGGAGGGGTGGAGGCGTGAGCGAGGAGACAGCGGGCGATCTTAGTGATTTCGCGAATGCGGCTCTCTGCGACGCCGTTCTGCTGTGGGGAGTGGGGAAGAGTGTGGGTCTGTTGGATGCCATGGGTGGTGCAGTAGTGAGAGAGAGTGCGATTGAGGAATTCGCCTCCCCCATCTGAGTGTAGGCGGCCGATGGGACGTTTGAAGTGGGCGCGACATTGCTCTGCCCAGTTGATGATCATGGTCAGTGCCTGGTCTTTTGTGTGGAGGAGGAAAACGGAGGAGTAACGGCTGTGATCCTCAACAAGAACCAGCATGTAGCGATGGCCTTGGCGTGAGCGGGTGGGGGAGGGTCCCCAGAGATCCATATGGACAAGGTCAATCGGAGCATGAGCAAAGGATGGGTGGCTGTGGTGAGGAGATTGTTTGAGTTTGCCGTGGATGCAGGAGGGGCAAGGGGGGGCTGGGGAGGAGGGAAGGGGAGGAAGGGTGGGAGGGAGGCTGTGAAGGAGTCGGGAGGTGACGGCAGTGCGGAGGGCGGCGAAATTGGGATGGCCGAGTCGGTGGTGTAGTAGAACAGCGGGGTGGGAGAGATGGTCGGAGGTGGAGGGGATAGGAATGAGTGAGAGCGGGATGGAGGAGTGGGGGGATGGCGGAGTGGAAGGGGAGGGAGGGAGATGGGGAGGGCTGGTGGAGGTAGCCGCACGAGTGCTGACATGGCATGCGGATGGCCACGGAGTGCGGAGAGTGTAGAGGCGAGTGCGGGGGCAGAGGGGTATGCGGAGGAGGAAGCGGCCGGAGGCAGTGTGGTAAAGGTCACAGTAGGTGGCATTACCAGGATAGACGGCAGTGATACCTGCAGTTTGGATCTCACGGTGGGAGAGGAGGTTGTTTCGGAGAGTGGGGATGTGGAGACCAGTTACCTTACCAGAGGGGAAGAGTGAGCAGGGGAGAGTGGAGAGGTGTGTGCATGGGATGGTGAAGCTGCTGTCAGCGCCATTAACTTGAGTGGGAGGGGAGAGGGGTGTGAGTGTACCAGCATCCTTGAGAGCGGTCTCAGTGGCCCCACTATCGAGAACAAAGTCCAGAGTGGGTGAGGAGGAGGACGAAGACACTGAGTACTGGAAAGTGGTTTCATTAATGTTGGATGGGTACATGGAAGGTTGAGAGGGTGAGATAGCAATGTTGCCAAGA